TTTACACATTAAACGGTTCAGATTTTCAAAACGGGACCCGTGGTGAGCCCCCACGGGCCCAACAGCACGGTCCAGTCTGATGGCGGACTGGACCAAAGTCAGACCCTTTATGTTTTTGTTTCTTATTTTTTGTTCTCATTTGTTTTGGAAACTGAAAATGAAACCTTATTTGGTCTATATTGTTTTTGTTTTCAAAAGAATTGGCACAGCAGTGACTCTTGTGCCTCATTTGAGATGCATTATGTGCTTATTTTTATGATCTGAACCGTTAATTTTGTAAGATTTATTGAGTACTTCATGCCTGCCAAAAATCATATTAATCGGATATCAATAACTATATGATCGAATTGCATATTTTTATACTATTTTTCAAAAGAATTTATTTTTTTGGTTATCAATCATATAGATATTGATATCTGATTAATATGATTTTTGACAAGCATGAAGTACTCAACAAATCTTACAAAATCAACGGTTCAGATCATAAAAATAAGCACATAATGAATCTCAAAATGAGACACCCCAGGTCCGAAATTGATTTCAAAAATTTTAAAAACACAAAAAAAATATTTTCACTTATTTTTAAAGCAGTTTTCACATTCTCCTCGCACCCACCACCACCCACCGCCGGTAGGTAGCCATCTTTGGCCAACCTCCAGCAACCTCCAGCCACCCACCACTACCGGTCACCACATCCGTCCACCCTCCATCTCCGGCCACCAACATAACTCATCAAATATATTTTTATTTTTGTCACAAAAACCTGTTTCTTATTTATATTTTTTTAAACTAAAAATTGAAAACGTTAACAAACGAGGCAAAGAAGATGTATGAAAGCGATATGAAAGTAAAAAAAAAAAATGTACTTACATGAGAAACATCGTTCCTAACGAGTTCGTAACGATCCTTGGGATTGCTCATAGCGCTCTAATTCAAATAAATCAATAAAAAACACAAACGTAACAAGCTAAGAAAAATCCCCAAATCGAATTTTAATAAAACGATATAGATACAGATATATAGAGAGAGGAGGGGGGGGGAAGCGTTGTGACAGTGGCGGCAGGAGAAGATCTGATTGCAGAATGGCGCTCGAAGTTTGCATCGTCTCCGATAATGCTCGCATCTATCAAACAAAAAAAACACAAAATCAAATAATGAATCAAAAGTAGATAGAAGAGGTGTGGATTTGGAATCAACAGACAAGACTATACCCGAATAGGAGCTTTCCGAAATCTTGGTGATTAAATGGTTGTTGAATTACAGTAGTAGTAGTGTCGTCTTGTTCTTCCATTGGTGGTGGTGGTGGTGGTCCTTTGCCTTTTTAGGGTAAATATAATATATATATATATACACACACGGAGACACACAAATAGTCACAAATAGAAGAATTTTGGAAATGCAGACAGCCAAACCGCAACCCAACCCACCAGGATCTTCTAGAGTGTTTTTTTCCTAAAGTTTCTTAGAGTGGTGTATTGTGTGGTTGAGATTTAATATTGAAAAATTGATGTGATTTGTCATTAAATCTCAACCACACAATGCACCACTTTAAGAAACTTTAGGAAAAAAAAAACTCTAGAAGATCCTTGCTCCATTTTAATAGGGTTATGCTAGACATCGAAATGATTTATCAAACTTTTTATCAAATTTTTTTATATGTATGTGATACCCATACACATGTAAATTTGTATAAGTCTCACACCCCTATGAAAGATTTGATAAAAAATTTGATAAATCATTTGGGATGTATAGCATTTCCCATCTTAATGTAATTAGGTTGAGTTTTTTATGTTATTTTTTAAGCATTAATTTGAGTATAGATTTGAAAAGAAAAAGAAAAAAATATTTAGAATATAATTATAATTTATTAGGTTTAGCTTGTCTTATGTTAAGATCAATATTGGATTTGTTTAGTTTGGCTCATGGATTTATTTTTGAGTCCCGTTTTGATAATTCGAACGGTTCAATGTGTAGAACTCGTTAAGTACTATATTTTTGTAAAAAATCGTGTTGATTGGATATTGATAGCTATTTTTTTTTTAATTTTTCAAACATAGATTTGCGAACAAGTTGGCGACACGAAGATGAGAGAGGAGATGAAGAGTTAGAGCAACGGCGGCAGCGATTCTAGTGGCAGAGTGGATGGTGGAAAAATAGAGCCGACACGGTGCTGGAGAATGAGGTAGTAGAGAACTGGTAAAGCGGATGAGATAGAGTTTGGAGAGAGAGAGAGAATAAAGTGTAGTGTGGTATGGTGTGGTATGGCTGTTCACTACCGTGTATACGATATATATGTAGGGATGGTGACGATGGCGGGAGGTGGTGACGATGGCTAGCAGGCAAGAGGAGATGTGGGCAGGGCTGGTCCTAAGTTTTCGGAGGCCTAAGGCGAAACAAAAACGGAGGCCTATGTTTACAAAGAAAAAAAATCACCCTGTTTGGTATCACTAACGTCGATTGATACCAAAATAGATATCAAAATGTATTCATACAAAGAAAAAAAAAAAGTTACCAGAATTAGGAAAACTTTATTCAATTAAATGTATTGGATACGTGAGAGGGTAATTTTTGGGAAAATTGGGCCGAACTTCGGGTTTGGTTTTGAGGCCCAAAACGCAGTGGACTGGGTAAAAAGGCCACACAGAATACTCCGGCCCAGAAGGGCAAAATTACTCCGGCCTTGGGAAGACAAAGCTACTTCGGCCCAAGGAGACGAAATTACTCCGGCTCAAGAAGAGATCGTTACTTCAGCCCGAGGAAGAGTAAAATTACTCCGGTCTGGAGGCAATTCACAGTTAGGCCGGTCTCAGAGTTAGTCCGGTCGCAGTATGTTCTAAGAAGGCCGGTGTCGGAATTAGTCCGGTCGTGACTTATATTGGTTAGGTCGGTCCGAACTTGTTACTTGGAAGTTTGATCTAAGCGCATCAAGGTCGAACAGGGCAGCCGAAGTAAAGAGTTGGAGGAGAAGACCGAGCTAAGGATAGTTCGGCCTTCTGTGGCTCGGTATAGCCAAGTTTACTTCGGTCAAAAGGAAGTTCGGCCGTAAAGAAAACCATCCCACTTGGTTTGAGCAGTGGGGGAGGGTGTAAAAGGATAAGCATTATCCTTAGGAGAATGAATCCTAGGAGGACTCTGCATGGAGAAGTGCAAGTCCTACTAGGATTGTGCCACGGGAAACTTATAAAAGCTCACAAGCATCACCTTGGAGGAGGTAATTGAACACAATCTTTCTGAGAACTTAGAGCTTGGTCTATTTGTCAAGTTTTCTGACTTAGGCATCGGAGAGGTTTCCGGCACACACCCGCCGGCTAGCTCACGTTTGTGTTTTCAGGTGACAAAGCGACGTCGTACGGAGGAGCGTGGACTTGGTCAACAGGATTATACGAGGAGAATTATTTCTTCCCCGTACAATACGTATTGAATTAATTGTTGTCTATTGAATATGTTGTTTATGAGTGTGGTTGCATTGTTGTTTATTGAATATGTTGTGTATCAGTGTGATTGAGATTGAATTAATTGTTTATTCCACTAAAATATGATAAACAAAGAAGATAAAAAAAAAATTAAGTCAAATTTATTTATTCCACTAAAATTTGATAAAGAAAGAATGTAAAAAAAAATAAATTAAAGGACCCATTTTGGGCCACCATCATTTTGTATGTGTATATAGTGTTTTTCATTTAAGGGACACCAACATTTTATATATATTTTAATTTCAATTGGCCAAACCACACTTATAAATAAATATGGACCCAACAAAATATTTTTGGATCCTTTAGATTAGCCCTAAAACAACAAAAATAATTAAGGCCTATTTATATTTGTAATATACTATAACACTTTTCTAAATTTAGGGCCCTATTTTAAGCTTATTTTTTGGGGCCTAAGGCACCGGCCTCAATGGCTTTCGCCTAAGACCGGTTGTGGGCGTGGGCGGCGATGGTGAGATGGCAGTGGCGAACCTAAAGAAGAGAGAGAGAGAGAGGGGGAAGAGAGAGAAATTTGAATGAGTGAGGACTGTGGTGTAACGATATATAAAGAAGGTATTTTGGTTATTTTAGTTGAGTTTGTCCTTTTGGACAAAATGTTTCAAGACTTAAAATTTTGAACAAATAAAATTAAAATTTAGACTTTTAAATCGAGCGTCTGTACAAAAATGTATATACATTTTATATTTTTTCATATTTTAGTAAAATTTTAAAATATTTTTTCACAAACTTTGTACTATATCTAAAAGAAGTTTAATTAAAATATTAAAAATAAAAAATATGAATTAAAAATTAAAAAATTATTTTTAAAAACTCCAAAATCAAAAGTAATGACGAATAAAATTTTGTTTATGTTTGTAAAATTTTAAAATTTTAAAGGGTTAAATTTCTCTCAAAATTTAAATTTAAATTTGAAAAAATTGGTCGAACTAATAGAGGTCCACCACATTTTCTAGGACATTTGGGCTATGTTTGGCATAAAAAATCTGGGTTAAAATAGTCACAAAAGAACAAAATAAGTTAAAAAATCAATATGTTAAAATATTATATCAAAATCATAATCATTTCATTTTTTCTCTCAAAAAAATAAAAAAAACTAAAAAGTTCATTATAAACAAAACTTTTTAGCCCTAAGTTAAAAAATCAAAACGCCAAAAAACAACCCACATCCCAAACGAAGGCTGTGTGTAAATTATTTAAAAAAAATAAATAAATCAATTCAATAATCATAATATTTGCACTTTATCTCGTTTCTCTCATAAAAAAAAATGGATAACAAGTTTACTTTAAAAAATAACATCCCATTTTTTTAAAAAACAAATGCTATAGAAAAAATGTATGATTATCAATTTTTTTATTCTTTCTTTCCAATAAATAATCAGCAATGCGTCAAGGAGAGAGAGAACGCAACAAGCAGCAGCAGATGAGCATCACAACCTCATTCAACATATAGTCCTGTACCTAAACCATCAATGGAAATCATGGGATATATGAAGATGACATGAAGACAAATTTCCTTTCTCCAAAAATAAAGTCACTCGATAAAATGATCCAAGAACATATTGCTACATCTTTTCTTGACTATGATCCATAATACAAATTCTGTCGATTAACATCTATCAGATTTACAAATGGGATCACTCTCACACGTGCACACATACACAAGCTGTACCACACCTCAAAAGGAATAGAACAGTCAACCCTACCACACTCCACAATGGAAGAGAATCATAATCATGATAGAAACTCGATTTCACTCATAGAAAAATGAGTAACACCACAAACAAAAGAAGAAGCAATTACAAGTAACAAATGTAACCCTGCTATACTATAGAAAGCCATTTAGAATGTTACATAACAATTACAACATAGAGGAAGATCAAAAATGTGAACCATGTTGTGGCTGTCGCAAAGCATATGCTTCCCAGTTCAAAGTATGGTGCATGAGCATGGATTCTTCTTTTGCATCTCCTCCTGGCTCTTGTCTGCACATTGTACCCCAAAAATGGGCAGAAAATGGAATGTAAGGGCCAAAGTTGGAACCTCTAATACTATAGAAACAGAAACTTCAAGAGACAAAAGATGCAACAACTTTGAACAATATAATGAGTACGCATCTAATGCCCATTGTTAAAATTAAATGATCGCAAATGCTAACTTTTGCAAATTAATCAGTAACAATACTTCTGTTGGCTTACAACTATTTGTAAACTCAAGATTCTCTGAACACACCAATAAGATTAAAAAACATGTTGGGCCACATCCTCCTCAATCTCTCAAATTTTATGAACAACCGACTCAAGAAATAATTTTAAAAAAAAACACTCTTAAGTATCTCTTGCTATCAAGTTTTTTCTTTTTTTAAAGTATTATCTCTTGCTATCAAGTTTTACTCTATCTTCATCCAAATTTTTAGTTTTGCTGAAGTTTCACTGAATATATTTTGTCTTTGATCTCCTTGGCCTAAATTCTTTAGATTCTAAAGTACCTCTCCACAATTCTAGCTTAAAATATGTTGAAGCATGGGTTCTGAATGAAGAACCTTAGGGTGTGGGTATTGGCTGAGGAGTTATAGTGTCGAGGACTTGCTAACCTAGCAGTAACATCATATATACACCTATACAACGCGGGTAAAAGGAATTTTTTTTTTTGAAAAAGGCTTTGATTTCATGATGTGAAATGCTAGAAATAGGGTACCTAAAATGAAGGGAAATTAGAATCAAGAGTGAGAACACAAGTTTGAGTCTAAGAGCAGCCACTTTGACAAATAATGCAAAGGTTAGGTTGGTATCCTTCTTACACCATCCGACATACTCAATTAATAGGGATCAACACTAGCTAATACCATTTGTTCCAAACAATGCATATTCAACAGCACAAAATTTCACAAAATAAAAAAAGGAATATCCATTGGTACTTGATCACAATTTTGAGTTTTGGAGAATGCGGCAAACAGTGGTGCTATTGTAATTGAAAGCAATACTAGTCACTATTTTTAAAGGATTAGAATAAGAGCCTTAATGGAAGTAACAAACGATGAAGATAGAAACTGTCCTGGCAAAATTTCTCAAATACAAAATTTTTGCATGAATTATAAACAAATCTCTTATTGACTGACAAAAAGGAAAACTAAAACAAACCTGTCTTCTTTTTTGCAACAGGAGGCTGTACCACAACATGCATGGTAATAACTCCACCGGGAAGGTCACCAATATTTATTTTTGATTCTTCAAGTGTCTTGATATTCTCCAAAACTTTGCCAGCATGTATCAGCTTCAAATCACTTACAGATTTAGGTACAACTGATTTATCTGTAAATATAAGGCTCCATTATAAACTCAACTGTGAATCAAAAAAATAGTCACAGAATATATATATATATATATATAAAAGAGTGACTGTGCCTGTAAACATGCCTGTGTGACAGAAATGTATATGTATACTATGTATAAACCTTTCTACAATTCATGCATTTACTTATGTATGTTATGCAGCAACACAAAATGTAATTTGTAATGCCAGTCCATTAACAGGTCCGTATTTGGCAAGATGTTCATGTGAAAGTTCATTCTGGAATCAAGATACAGAGTATGCGTATAGTAGTTAGACAAGACAACAAGCAATATATTTACGCCCCAATGAGATATGGCAATATATATACACAGCAATGGAATAGAGAGGAACACACAATGTTCAAAAATTGAACACAAGAAAAAATTGCAATTCAATGTTAATTACAACATTAATGTTCTCATATGAACTTCAACTTTTAGCCTTCCTCTCCCCATTTAAGATGTTGTTTTGAAATACAATACCCTATATAACCTAGAAACTCCTACAATATTGCACTTGCACACGAAGGGATTCCCATCATTTAATTGAATAAAAACCATATTAATAACATATCCACCTCCCTTACCTTCTCTAACTCCTCAAATCTTCGAAACAATCACCAACCTCAAAGTTTTACCATTACTACTGCCCACCACAACCGCCATAGGTGCCCCCTCCTCTCTCTCTCTCTCTCTCTCTCTCTCTCTCTATAGATAGATAGATAAATACATAAATATATATAAATTCAATCTATCTTTCTGTTGCCACTACAACCACCAGTTTGCTCAACCTCCTGTTTCCATTTTCTCCTCCAATCAATCATTTGGCCTTCTGCCAACTTTCCGTAGGTCTCATCTAATTAAATAGATGAGGCAACTTATTACCTGGACTAGAGAAATACTTCGTAAGCCCAAATAAAGTCATCCAAACTGCCCTTATTTGATGTTTAATTTGCTGCCCATGTGAGTTATCACTTTGGCTTGTCGATCAACCATTGCTAGACCAATCTAATGCCTATGGCATGTGGGACCACTGAGAATAGATCATAATTCACAATTTACAATTTACGGCATCGATAGTTACACTAGTAAAGAATAAAATGGGGATGCAATAAATAAGTGTGGAGCTCAATGAAATATAAGTACTAGTGTTTTTTTGAAACCACAATCTGTTGTTGGATTGTATGATTTAGTTTTAGAGCACTGACATTAAAATCACATTGGTCATAGTCTGTAGCACACAATGAAATAGTAAAAATAAAAAGAAACATATATACATAAACAAACCAATAACCTTGAGGCCACTCAGCAACAAGCCTTTGCTTAAGAGTAGCAACAGTAGTAGAGGGTGCATAAGTAGTATGAGCTATATCTGTTCCATCATAGATTCTGAACTTAAGTTCAATGTGCTCCTCTCCTTCAGCCATGATATCCCTTCTTCTCCTCCACCAACCCAATTCAATAAAATGACAACACTTACAATCAAACAGCCCCAATTCACCTGCCCAAGAATCCCAACCAATATTTTCAATTCACTACATCTAGTAACTTAGAAATTACAGGAAACAAAATGATAAAAGGAAATTACAAGAATTCAGAGAAATTAAAAAATGGGGACTGAAATATGCAATCATGTTGAATAATACTCTGTAGCACTAACCTTGGTTAATTCGCCAAAAAACTCGGCACCAGTACGAAGAAGATGGAATAACAACTGTACATTTGAATTAACGATTACGGAACCGAGTAAGCACTTCATATGATCAACAGTTCCTCCACAAAACTACCGCGTAACACGTCTCTGCAACGCAACACAACACAATACAGAACCAAAAAGTCAGGATATTCTAACGCTGTTTGGTTGGGGCATTTGAGAAGGATTTGAAAACAGAAAGTGAAAGAGAAAAGGTAGGTGAAATGTGTATTTTTTTTAAATCTCCCAACCAAATAAAGCGTAAAAATCAATTCTAAGTCGTGACAGATCTTCGATCAATCACTTCATTAGAGATTAATTAAAAAAAAAGAAAAAAAACTAGATTCAGTCTGGTTGTCAATCAAGAAGCAATATATCGATATAATTTCTGGTGAGGTTTCTGAGCATCCAAACAAGAAAATTAGAAGGAAGAAGAAGAAGGAGAGTGATTGGGTTCACCATTGATGGAAGATCGGAGGGGACTGTGATTGATGATGATCGAATTCAATAATGTGATTAGGGTTTGGAGCCGAGTGTCGGTGTTTCGAATAGAGGAACAACAAAACGAGAGAGAGAGAGAGAGAGGGGGTTTGTTTGGTTGTTTCGCAGTCCCGTTCGTTTTTCCATTTTTTGGTTTTAGAAAGGGAGTGAAATGAATTGTTGGGTGATGTGTCGTGCTCTCGTGTGCAGTGTATATGAAGTCGGTCGCATTAGATTGTTGCTTTTTTTTTTTCTTTTTCTTTTTTAAGTCAACAAAATTAATAGATAACGTTTGAAATGTCAAACGGTCAAGTCATCAGAAAATTATTTGGTAGTGAATCTTGGTATTTATTAAAAATCAATAATATATTAGTTATATAATTTGACTAGTGTATAGCTGTGCACGGTGTAAATAATATTGAGATTAAAATATAATTATAATTTATACGTATCATATTAAAATTTGTAAAGTCTGTAGTACCTGATAAAAGTTCAAGTCAGCACTCCTACCATTAGTTTGTGGCTAACACATAATACATTGGTGAGTGTCATAGTACCCCGAACCATAAATATCTGATTGAAATAATATAATACACAGAACATAAATACCATAACCTCGCAAATAGTAGTCTTTAGAAATTGTTTACACATTAAGATACGGAAATCAAATATTTTGAAATAATTTTCCAATCAAGATACGGAAAGTATTGAAAAACTAAATGCATCATATCATGAAGAAGAAATCAACTCTATGCCATAGTATCCCAATAATAAATGGCAAAAAAAATAACTCCTGCAACTCATCTGGTTTGTCAAATTAATGTGAAAATCATCAATTACATCAACTATAGAATACAAATTGTTGCTTTACAAAATAGTCAAATTAAAAAGATTTTAAAGTCATCTAACAACGATCAAGTATTGCTAGTATCAATACTTGAAAGAGTAAATTAAATAAGAAAAATTATAAATAGGTGATAACTTCACAAAATATTTAAAAACTCATTAATTTATAATTTTCTTAATGAAATAAGAAGATGAGTTAAGAGAGCCAATATAACAGTTTGGTGCAAATCTCCATCATCCTATGAAAATAAAAGAGAACATAATTTTATACAAAAGGGGGAAAAAAAAGTGTATACAAAGTAGTGACAACTGACATGTCCAAAGTAGTGACAACTTACATGTCCAAAGTAATAAATCAACTTACATGTCGTAATAACTCAATTGTAAAAGATCAAGTCAGCACTCTTAAATCAAACTTAGCTATACTGGCAATGCAAAAATATAGGGGAATAAAAGGCTTCACAAAAATATTTGAAATGCAAAAAGTCCACATAGGTGGAAAGCTTTACAAAAAAGGGTCATAGCTTTACCAAATGCATATACTTTACAAAAATATGTGTTTGATAATGTCTTTAAATTTGTTCTTTTCCACAATTCTTATGAACGCCTCATCAATTTCCAAAAGGTCTTCATAACAAAATTTCAGGGTAAACAATATTTGTAGAGGAATCTGGCTCATCATTAGAGAGGAGGATACTTATACGATCGAAAGATGCGCATCTGGATAATGCCACGTATAGTTGCCCATGACTAAAAACAGGTGTACGCAAATCAACCCCAACAAATTTCACAGATTGTCCTTGAGATTTATTAATGGTCAAAGCGTATGCCAATCGAACTGGAAATTGACGTCTTGTCATTCGGAAAGGCATTTCTACAGAAGACGGAGTCAATGATATCCTTGGTATAAATGCCAAATTGCAAAATTTCTCTCCAAAGCGCATATTCAAATCTAGAGATGAAACATGTAGATCCTTCCACAAAACAGAGTGTCTCAATGATGCATTCACAATTTGCTCACGAACTCCTTTGGTTATAACTGGTAAGATTTGTCGAAAGTTTCCACCAAGAACAACAGTGATACCCCCAAATGGCTTTTCACAATCACAAATTATCTCGAAGTGTGCGATCAACCGCCTCAACACAATGTCTATGTTGCATAGGAACTTCATTCCAAATTATGAGTTTTGTTTCTCTAAACAATTCAGCCTGTAATGATTGCTTGCTAAACCCACAAACTGAATTTTCCAAGACATCCAATGGAATGGAAAATGCGGAATGTGCAGTGCGACCTCCTACTAATAGCAATGATGTAATTCCAGATGAAGCCACGGTAACAACAATATGGCTATGACTGCGACATTTTAATGCAATCGTATTGTACAAAAATGTTTTTCCCGTTCTGGCACCGCCATTCAAAAAGAAAATAGTCCCTTTACTTTCAAAGACTGAAGAAGTGATTGCGTTATAAGCAGTTCGTTGTCCATTATTGAGGCGATCAATAGTAATTTGCACATCTTTCTGTTGTGCCTCATTATGTAGTTGTTGATGTTCGAATATCAATCGGTTACCAACTGTTGTACTCCAATTTGCTGTAGGTTGTGGCATGAGCGGGAAGTCAATTAAACTCTTTCCTGATTCTTAAAGCATTTGATTCAAAAGATACAAACCATAATCTTCAATTTGAGCCTCAGTTAGGTTAGAAATGGCAAACAATGTACGAAGCTTATGTGAAAGATCATCACAGATATGCATTGAAAATTGATTCCATAACGCATGTGGTTGTAGTGGAAAACATTGGGTCAGAATAATACAAAACAATCTCCTCAATTGATATCCGGTTTTCATAACTGCAGCCTCTTTCAGGCACTGTATCCATCTTCATCATCTTCTAAGAGTCCTCTTGCAACACATGCTGATTTAAACGTCTCATGCAAAACATTGTTAACTGTACGTAAACATTGAAACGATCTTGGCCCTTTGACAACAGTTAACAACAAACGCAGATAAAATCTTTCACCACAGTTAGGGCTAGCAAAGTACATTATACCAATTGCATATCCATGTTCTCTGGGTTTCCATCTATGTTTTGACTTGAGCCAAACAAAATGTTGCGAAAATTCTTGGTAAGTGAATTGACGTTCATTTTCATTAGAAGCACAATAATAAAAAAAATCAGTAAGAGTTGATTTTTGTTGCGCAGCTCTAAAAAGAATCATTTCCAATGAGTCATTAGGATTGAAAAGAACACGATGCATTCCAGGTAGATGAAGTGCCAAGTGAACAACTGTTGGCATCTCTGTATGCAAATGATGGCCGAATATTTGCCAAGCAGCTTCTGGTGGTCCAATATACCTCGTATCAAGATATTGTTGGATCTCATTAATCAATCCCAAAACCATTATTGTGCGATCATAACCCTTGCAAATATACTTATGTATATACTTAACACATCTCACTCCAGCACAAACTTCTATATTTATATGACAGTTAAACCGTTTAGAAAGATATGCATTGTATGGTACCACATCCCTGTTATCAACTTCCTGTCCTCTCACAGTATATACTTGACCACTATTGCGACGACGATAGATTGGATATCCATCTTGGTCCATAGTTGTTGATTCTTCAAAGGCTCGAGGGTATTTCTTAGTACATCTACCATTTTCCATACATGGTGCTTGGGGATTTCGAGCACCACATGGTCCATGTACCATGCAACACTTGACAGTTTCAAAAAGTGTAGGATCATCTTTTGGATCTGGAAATTCTGTACAAACTAATTTGTCTACTTGAGCACATGTTCAAATTTTGTCTGGACCTTTAAGAAAGAGAAGCGCATGCAAATGTGGCAGGCCTCGTTTTTGGAATTCAATTGTAAAAACATGTGCAACTTTATTACCGAACACTTTGTTTGTCTCTATCTCCTTCATCAAACACTTTCTTTTTAGCTCAAAAACACGGGCAATCAAATCCGGACGATCAATAGCTTTTTGGTGTGGTAATAATGCTAAAGTAGTTTCTGGCCAATTGGGATTTGCAGTCATGGTGAGAAAAATATCTGGGTGCTGGTTGTATCGCGTGATAGCCATTGAATCTTGAAAGATTTCAAACATATGTCTAGGACTACCAGTAAATGAAGATGGCAAAATAAACCTTTGACCAATTTGATTAGGTTGCAAGTCATCTGGATCAATATCGCTTAAATCTTGGTAAAGTTCAGCCCAAATTTTTTTTTTTGATTAAGCTTGTAGTATGTTAACCGATTTTGCTCAGTTGCAGCCCAAGCATCTACCAAAAACTCTTGGAATAGTTTTCCACCTCTCAAAATTGTTGAATACTCTGTAGGTCGCTCAAACAAACGATAACTATAAAAATCCATTTGAGTAAGTCGATCAGTTGAAGGCCGATCATGTTTAACGTCCCACAATTTCAACTCAGGTTCCCATCCGAGCTCACCATACGAGAATAATAAAACATAATGCAATGGAAAATACGCTGGGTGACATTCATTAATTTGCATCAGTTCATTATTTCCCTGTAGATGTAAAACAACATCTCTCATTCCAGTAACCTCGGTTCCATCACCTGGTATTACAATTGCAATCTCATCAACAATTGGTAAGTTATACCGTCGTCGGTCTGTTGCTGAACTATAGTGAAGATGAGCAGGTAGATTTTGTCCAGTGAAGGCTAATTGATTCAAAATTACATGAGCCTGGCAAAATTTGTCTACAAATGCATTAACTTGCAATAAACTATCTTGAATAGTTTTGAGAACATCCCTTTGTAAGTGAGGATTTCTACGATTTCGAACTTCTAAAGCTGAATCAGGATCATAAATGTACAACTGAGCATAAGTCGCATCCTGACCTGGCTGTGGTAGAAGTGATCCTGTTCGATGTCGCAATTCCCCATGGATAATAAATGGTTTAGGGCCGCTTCCCCTTAGTACTCTTGGATCCAATGTAGCACCAAGACTTGTAAAAGCATTGGCTGCATTGTATACTCGAGTATAACGTCGAAACGATCTTGCTTGATCATCATCCCCATCATATAATGCTTGAAGCGGTGGAGGGGGTGTCATAAGCAGAGGTAGCCTAGTCTTTCCATTTGAACAGCAAGTTCCAAATAGGGGACGCTTTCGAGATGATTGTGCTAATTTTTCGTCCATCCAATGTAAGGCTGAACAGTAAGGACATAACACATCCATCTTGCCGAGAGAATGACGACATGAATTCATGTGTGATTGAGTATTAATCGCAGTCTGTACAACTTTCGTTCTTTGAGTTTTGATCA